CATGCAGCGAAGCGCTGATGTAGCGCTCCTCACGTGCCATCAGCTACTTATCGTCTGCCATGAGCAACAGTTTTTACGGTGCGATACAAGCTGGTGAACGCTGCCGTCAGCACGTGCTTAGCGCGAGGTTAGCGCTATGCTTGTAGCGCTCCGCTGCATGTGTGAACGGGCCTTTACGGTCCCCATAGCGCGGTGTAATGGGGGGAAACTCCCTGGTATAACGATTCGTTTTCTTTTCTGTTCTCTTCAAAACTTTCACGAAGAGTCACATATGAAAGAAGTCGTATATTTTCCTGGGTGGTTGAAACGCCATGTTTTCTTTTTTTCTAACAATATCAGACAATCGTTGTAAGAATGCGGGAAATGCATGTCACGAACGGCGTTTGTGCATAAACTATTGTCACCGACGACTTCAAAAACGCGGGGCGTTACACAATGTTTACGCTTCATAATTTGTGCTTCGGCACTCTTATCGGTTAATGCTGCAATCCCATTGGATGAGGAGCAGTCATAAGACATAGAGGCGTGTGATGCGTTTCAAATACGAGAGGGATAGAGAGTCAGAAAGGGAAAGTGCAGTTCCGCGAAACAAGATAACTAAACATAGGATTCAAAGCCAAAGGCAGGTAGGTAAGCTTGCAATTGGGGAAACCCAAGTGGTGAGGAAAAAAAAAGAAAGAAAAATAAAAGGTAGGAGAAGCGTAGCGAAAATTTTAAAGATTATTTTAGTTTTATTTCGGACTGTAGAGTGTAATGTGCGTGTGTGTGAGAGTAGGGGAGTTAGAGAGAGAACAGAAGTATGCTTGGCACGAAGTTAGGAAAGTTGAAAAGATGAGACCCTTTTTTAGTATCACTTTGTGGGACTATCACTATAGCACACCACCAAAGACTGCCTCCTCGTTCTTGGAACTGCTCGTGGAGGGCTTGAATGACTTGCTCTCACTTCCCTTTCGTGGCCGGAAACTTGTTCGTTGAATACTGTCCGTAGAAGAGGCTGTGTCGTATATTGGTACTCTTCGGTTCCGATTGCGCCAGCAGAAATATTAGGTATTCGTAGATTCATTTTATGTGTTCCGGTGTCGTTACGATTTGAACGCGGCACACGATTCGCGCATTGACATATTTGTTTGTCATAATTTTTGTTTTCATAAAAAAGATTTGAAGTTTTTTTGTTGTTGTTTATTTAGCAACCTGAAGAACGTGTACACATCCTGTAAATCACCGCAGATATTTGCCTTTCTTTCATTTTATTGTGCGTGCGTATTTTGAACGACGCTGAAGTAAAGCGACGAAAGAAACTCGAGTCGTGCAGATAGCTCTGATTGTGTTTAATTAAGTCCCAGTCCAATCCAATCAATTATGATGTAAAAGAAAAAGTTCAGAAGTTTTGTTTTGGGGAAACGACAACATTTCTGTAGAATTTTGCAGTACAATTTATTCCCGTTTGTGCGATAACGCAGTCTTTTCTCCTCTTGCTTAAATATCTATATGTTTACAGAATATAAAAAAGCAGGTGGGAGTATTTTCGTTTTATTTATACCATATCTATAAACAAAGTTAGGAACACCGCACACGTTCAAATGTTGACAACGCTGTAACCGAATTATGCTCGTTTGCTTCCGGTATCCGGGTAAATGTATTTGCTGCAAATAACGGACTTAAAAAAAAAGACAACTTAAAATGAAAGTGGAGCCCGATAACACTTTACTACAATAGTGAGTCTTATTCATCCTATCCGTTTCGTGTTTGTCAAGCAAAACAGTGCGATACGCGACGTTTATATATCAACAAAACGTACACACATCCGCTATCAGCGCGAAAGCGTGGCTTGCACAAACACTCGACGGAAGTGCGCGCGGCTGCGACAGCAGCGCAACGCGGTCGAATTCCGTTATGCCTGATACAAGCGACAGGTGTTCTCCGCTAAGGTGACACATTTAAAGAAAGACCGAACACATTCAGGTGGCACGCTTCAAACAAAGCGCACCTTTGACGCGTAGGATTACTAACGGCGTTAGTTCATTTCTATTGTAATTACTGCTCCAAACATCATCATCATCGTCGTCGTTTATTGAACCTCGAGGGCCCGTACCATAGCCGAGATGACGTTCCAGGGCAAACACGCGGCCCTCGTGCTTTAGGGTCCACAGACGCGAGCACTTCAATCAGTCCCATTTCACAAAGGACGCTGCTTCACGCCAACAAAGCGCGCGAGAGTGGATCACAAGGGAAGCCCTTCGCAAACCTCCAGACAGCCCCATCGCTATTGTATCACTAGAGCGATGACGTCATATGTTGGCGAGCTCGATGGCACGGTGAGATGAAAGCAGTGAGGCATGAAAGCGAGCCGAATCCTGTCCCTCCCTCCCCTAAAAAAAAAAAAAAAAAATGAAAATAAAACATCTCGGGAGGGTCTTTGAGCTCGGGGTGTGAACCCACTTTAATTCCAATAAGCCGGAGTCAAGTAAGTTGACTGTAGAATGCAGCGGAGGGGGAGAGTGTCGCTTTTTGCGGATCTGTCTGATGGCGGGCTGTTGAAGGGCAAGAACTTGAACAAAAACAAGAAAAGAAAAGCGCCCCATGGTTTCGTTGGGGGGGGGAGCTGGGATAAAGTGGAACTTGCAGGGTATGTTTGACACTGCTTCTCCCTTTCGTCATTGTCAGCGATGCATCGAGGCGTCCTTGTTTGACGCACCGCATGTGGCGGCTAGTGCATTTGGGGCTGGAGCTTTCGAGTGGTGTATACTGTCATAGCACACGCAACCGGCTTTTTTTTTTTTTTTTTCTCAAACTTTTTTTTACATTGTTTGTTTTACTGTCGTTTCTGCTAAACCAGGCCGTGTTCTTAGCTGTTGAGTGCAAATATGATATCCCTTCGACACGACCGTGTGCCTGACAATCACATTTAGGTGTTGTATCTAAATTATACCTGACGCAGATATGATGCCAGTTGCACTGACAAGTACTGAATCTCAAATGAGTACCGTATTTTCCGGACTATAGTCCGCACCCGGTCTATAGTCCGCAGGGGGAAATTTGGGGTCAAAAATAAAAGATTTTGCTTCCGCACCTGGTGCTAAGTCGACACGAAAATCTTCTCATAGACGGCACACGTTTACAAATGTCTGCTTTTTAGCGCACAATACAGCCTATAATGTGCATAAATCATCATTAACATACACTTTCGTGCACGAAATTCGTCACGTCTCGTCATAATAAACGATCTTGAAAAACATAATTCCTGTATAGTCCGCACGCGTAGATAGTCCGCACAGCCAGAAATTTCAACTTTTAAACATGTATAGTCCGCGGACTTATAGCCCGGAAAATACGGTACTCTGACCCCAGGGATAACTGAGCGAATAATTTTTGTAACCTGTGAATTCACAAAGCTCGAAGTTCTGCCTGGGGATAATGAAACCAACCAAAGCTCGTTCTTGTATTGTTTGAGTACATTTTACTAAATTGGATATGAATTCTTCTCACCGCCAAGGAGAATCCGGACGGTAAAGCAAATTGCATCACTGCTCTAATTTATTTTAGCTCCGTAAGGATACATCAAACGCGCATTAACAGAAATAAATGCAGGGATGGCTTTCCTTGCGCTTTCTTTTTAGAATGCCATAAAGTATTCGTAGCTGCGCATAGTTTTATAGTTCTTCGCCAGTAACTAGCCTCTAGTCAAGTTTTTATCTGTGAACCAGGTGTGAACATCTCCACCTTGAGAAAAGTTAAGTGCAGTATGAGAAGGGTCCGGTTTGCAAATGAGCGAATCTAAGGTGTTTAATTAGAACATCTAAACCTTGGGATTACAGGTTCACTTTGTCTTGTAAACTTTATTGAACTAAAGTGACCAAAATTGGAGCTTCCCCAATATCATTTCTTTTATTTTTTCATAGGGGAAAGCGAAAAGATTTTCAAATCGAGTAACGCTGCCTCATTCCTTTCTAGTGCTAAAAAGTCCACGACCAACATGCAGGCCTTTTTGATAAAGTCGTAGCTGGTCATGACACTGCATTATTGATTGACTGATTGATTCCTTCATTTATTATCACATAAGGGCCCCGAGAGGGACTCTATGTCACACCCCTACTTGTTTGCAGTCATTCTAAAAAAATGATTACAGGCATTCAAACTTGCCCCAGAAAGTCGTCTTTCATCTCTATGAACAACAAAAAAATAAAATAAAATAAAACTACACCGTTAAATTTCTAATTCTTTCCCAACATCTTACTGACGAAAATTCAAAAAAGCAAAATAATTTAGATCTTGCATATACTTCGATATAATAATATAAAAAAAAGAAACAAGAGAGAAGAGAGAAGAGGTTGTTGTGTCTCTGGATACCTATAGAATCTTTGTTTCCAGAGTGAACGGGATCTCCAAGTAGCCACGTAAAATTGACCACAAAGTCGCGTCGAGACATGCTCAAGAATCCTGTTCGACCACAACGGATTCAGACGGGTAAACGAAATAGAACGCTAAACGGAGCTTTCAAGGCTATGCCCGCGCGCCAAGCATCCTGCGGCAATATAGTCTCAGTAAAAAAAAAAAAAAAAAAAAGCTGCGAAACTTTTTTTTTTTTTCAATTCAAACAACACACGTCCCTTCAAGGTATTCCACAGGCTCCCAGCCAACAGAGAATAGAAAACTACAAATACAAAAGAACCCACGAGGGGCAATCAAAGCAGAAAGAACGGCGTCACCAGCTGCCCATCGCGTACAACGCCACATTAAAACCAAGCCACGATTAGCAGTGCCTTCGCGAGGGCGATAAGCGACGGGCACTGTCGCAACGGGAGTCGCGGGAGCGGCGGCCAACTGTCCCCGAGAGCACGGAGTGTGGTCCGATAACGTCGTCGTTGGGGGCAGCCAATAAAGGAGCGACGTCGACAGTGAAAGTTGTCCGAGGCCTCTCCTCACCGGCCGACGAGGAGAGTAGAGCAAGTTGAGACCGGGGCCGGCTCGCTGGACCAGACAAAAGTCGTCCAGCGATGCGCGGAGAGGAACAGACCGGAGCTCATGGTCCCCGCCTGGCCTTGACCGCCACTATGGACGCCGTACCGGCCTTCGCGGTTCCTCTTGACCTACACACCGTCGCGGAGTCCGTCGATGATGTAAGTGGCCACGGGGGAGATCATATATAAGCTATCGCCGGTGCGGCGTTCCTTTGTTTCGGGGTGTCGTGTTTCCGGGCTACGCAGATTGTGGTTGTCCCCCACACATCATCGCGGCTTTGTTTCGTTGCTGCTCGTCGGCGGTATTCGTGCACGTCTTCGACATCAGAATGTGTGACGGTGTGCAAGAAAGAAGACACCTGGATGTATCTGACAAATGCTGCTTTACGATGTGATAAGTTTCTTCAGTCTGACTCCACGTACAAAATGTGGGATAATGGTATTTATAATGGATCGTGCGCTACTCTATTCGTCGTGGATGATCTTTACAAAATGGATTTGCGATGTTGTTGGCTGCTCACTGATGATTAGATGCGTAGTTAGTCTGGCTAAGTCCGATTGGCTTTGAGGATTTAGGATACGAGGAATCGGCTGGGAACGCGTCTGGCATTTTGAGCTTCGCGATTGAATCCGTGTTTTCTTGACTATAATGCGACTTCAAAAAATATTATAGACTTAGTACAAAGATCAAATGCTGCCAATTTATGATAAAAATGTTCGCAACTAAAATGAATAAAATCTTGCTCACACATGTGACTTCCTCCAGTTTATAAAATGAAATAAATGTTAATTAAGACTTTGCACCAGAAATAACATTAGTCGATCGAATATATATTAAACTCTGAAAATGAAAGTCGAAGACGCAGTGGCGACGTTTTGAACTTACACTTGCCTGCCTAAAGTGACATTGCAAAACGTTAATAGTCGACAACGGTCGAATGTTATCGACTACATCGACGACGGTCGACTAAATCACACTTTTTAGAAATATAAAGTCGATCGACACAAAGAATTTTAGTGTTAGATAGCTATGTCGTGTTTGACTAATATGTGTTGACGATTCATGCTTGAAAGATATCGAAGACATCAGGGATTGCGTGCACATAGAACATGTACATAGAACGCGGGTTTGAACCCATAAAAAAACAGAATAGCGCAGTCTTCCCTATTAACTCATTCACAAGACTAGTGATGTCATCAAAGCCAAATTGAACGTACCCGTTAATGGCAGTCTTATTCTTGCTCAGCGTTTGTTCATAAAAATCAAACGTACGTGTTTTTTGTTTACAGGTGCATATGATGGAAGATGGATCCGTGGACCTCAGCAGCCTGCGGGAGGAAGACTTCGAGCATCTGGCGGTGTACCAAGTACGAGACCAGCCATGCGAGGAAGGACAGACCAACAGGGCCGAGGCCTCCCTGCCCAGAAACCTGCTGCTCAAGCCCTCGCAGACACTCAGCGACGTAAGTGTTCGAGTCTCTTTATACTTTTCCTGGTAGCTCGCGTTGCACTGGGCATGAGATTAATTTTTTATCGGCCGACTTTTTTTTAAGAGAGTAATTGTTCTGAAGTTTGCGATGCACGTTAAAGGCAAAATATTTATTGCAGTCGTATTGGGTTTGAATGCCGACCAGCTTCTGCTGTAGAAACACTTGCGCCTAGTTATTGCTAGGGTATTGCCTTCATGTGCGTTTTTTTTAGGGTGAAGAGATCTGGCCATTTTGTCCCACACTTTTATTTTTATTTTTTGTTCAGAAGCGAGTGAAAGAGCGTGTCTCTGCATGTGTTTGTGGCGCTGACTGTGCTATGGCGACATTTTGTTTTCGTCCATTTCTTTGTATTTTCCCCGTGAGCGCTTGCTGTCGGCATCGGGTACTACAAAGGGTGGCATCACCCTAAACAGAAGGACATTGAGGCACCCTAGTTGTTGCTATCTGTTTTTATCTTGTGCTTCTTCGTGTATCACATTATCCAATTGCATGCGTTATTTAGAGGTGGTTGATTCTCTGTTCATTTAATGACTTCACTTTTTTAAAAATAATTGTACCTATTTTTGGCGTGGAACTTAGCTAACAAACCTTGGCCTTTTTTAATATTTCTTTTATATGCGGACAGAATGGCAATATATGGGAGTACATACAACATGCATAAAAATGTGCTTGTGTACAAAGGATGTTAGTAGGAGACTAGTGTGACAAAAGGACAAAATGCATAGCAAGCTTAGAATACAGGTATGACAAAAAGTAAAATTAAAAAACCGACACTGAGAAAAGCTGCATCATTTCAGTAGTGCCATCAAACTTTGCGTGTGAATAAAAATATGTCGCTGTTCATTCGTTGTCGTCGTCGTCGCCTCTTGTTTCCTGTAACATCAAGAAGCATTACTTTCGGTTATTTTGAAAAGACCACTCGTAGTTGTATCGTTTATTCGCTAGGACATAAAGCAAGTATTCATTAAACGCGTTTTTTTTTTGTCTAAAACGTTTATTGTTGATTGTTAAGACAAAAAAAAAAACATTCAAAAAGAGATAAGTTTGGGCAGGTACATCCTTTAGTTCAGATGACAAGTCCTGTCCTGATTTTAGTTTCTTCACTGCACATTCACGGCTCTTGATGATTGGCAATACTGGAACATTTTTATCAAATTCAACGGAGCATCTAAAGCAAAACAAAAATGCCATAAAAAGAAAACACAGAACTCTTTGTGTTTTGATTCTCAGAAGTCAGCCTGCGCCGTCTGGAGCCAAAAATTTGTTGAAAATAAGGCGTGCCCAGTTTTACGTGTGAAGGCCGCGCGAGGGCAAGAGAGCTTTGGGCAGCAGCGACAGTCCCTGCATTGCAGGGCGAGGGGCAGAGCTGCCCCGGCGGCAATCGGGGCCGATAGCGCTCTGAAGTGACACACTTCCACGATAGCCGGGAGTCACTGACACTTTTATCACCCTCAAGGACAACCAGAACTGCAGGACTAACACCAAGGTTGGGGTCGATAAAAACACCCCCGCTGAGGTGGAATGTTACCTGAAATACCGTCGCGCGCTTGTAAATGTCGTAATGCTAGGACTATGTTTAGGAACAAAACGAGAATGACGAAGTATTGACGGTCCTCCGCCAAGTCACGAATCACGATAGATATCTCGAATGCAGGTACTGGTTTTATTGGCCAGCGTAGTGAGTAGTCTGGCTACTACGGCACCACAACATCATTGGCATTGTAATGGCTGTTGAACCTAAAATAAATGGAGGTATACAAGCATAACGTAATGCATTTTTTTTCTACAATATAAAATTGTCCTGAGGGGGCGGGTCTGCCTGGTATACCATTATTTTGCGAAGAACATTATACCTTAACTTTGAAGTCCGAGGGCCATAGTTACGACGACTAGCCGGAAGTGTGACACTCGATGTGACGTGCACTTCATCAAACTAAGCACTGATTTCACAGTAATCAACTGCTCGGTCACATGCACACCTCAAGTCCCCGTGAAGGTTACTCAATTGGTGTTTCTGCGCTTTTTCCCAGGTGCTGGGTGTCTGGAGCACGGACTACATCCCACGGGGGACGCGCTTCGGTCCCCTGACGGGAGAAATTTACCAGAAGGACGCGGTGCCGGCGAACGCCAACCGCAAGTACTTCTGGCGGGTGTACGATGGGTCCGAGTCCTTCTACTACGTAGACGGCTTCGACGTCAGCAAGGCCAATTGGATGCGCTACGTGAACCCGGCTTACTCGAGCGAGAACCAGAACCTGGTAGCTTGCCAGGTCAAGCAGGACATCTACTTCTATACCATCAAGCCCATCTACCCCAACCAGGAGCTCCTGGTCTGGTACTGCCGGGAGTTTGCGGAGCGGCTCAGCTACCCTGTCACTGGAGAGCTCATGCTCCAGAGGATACGTGAGTGCCCGCCTTCAATCCAGGGTAGAAACAAAGTCTTATGTCGCAAGGTGTTAGTGTGAGTTCGAAAGACAATTCTTTTCGTTCTTTTTTAATCTCAGTCCAGTTAATCTTATTAATCTGGACTGAAATTTAGTTGCTCCAGATCATGTTATTAAAAAAGGCATATGGGTTAGCAGAGTGAGTGGCCGAACAAAATCAAATGGAGTACTAAATTTTCAAGACACCCAGTTTATTAAACAAAAAAAAAATGGTCTGGAAAAAGTTAAAGCTTCCACCGTAGGGACTTTGAGTAGATCGTATTCTAGAACTACGCACTGCTAGTGGGGCTCGTGCCGTCACTTTAAAGCACTCATTGAGCACGGGTCCGCTAGGCCTGCTTTCCCAACGCACGATCTACTAATATATCTGGTCGAAGAGAAGAACGCCTTATTCTTTATTATTGAACAGGCATACTAGACACATAATTGTTACGTCAGAAGAAACAAATTTTTTTTACTCAGGAGACACGTGCCTAATGCGATCATGACTTCTCACACAGAAAAGTTATTAATTGTAACTATTCTTAGTGCACTATTATTTGCAGTCGATGATGATATCTATTCTTTTACCTTGCTCGTACTACTGTTATGGTTTTGCGGTATATACAACTGAATTATTTGTTTGTGCTTGCAGGAGAGCAACTGCAGCCCGCGGACAAAGACGACTCCTACTACTCCCGGCCGCACCAGCTGACGCCGCCCGAGGGCAGCACTCGCAGCGACGAGGGCTACCACAGCAATGGCGGGCCCGAGGACGGGCTCACGCCCCCCGAGGACAGCAGCGACAGCGACAGCGAAAACTACGTGCTCGACTTCAGTGTCAACGCCAAGCGAAAGCAGCCCGCAAGTGGCGCCGGAGCGGACAAGGCGGAAGCTGACAAGCGAGAGGACAAGCGCGAGTCGGCCGCTGTCGCTGCGGAACAGCCGGAGAAACCGCCGCAGAATGAGTTTCGGAAGGTCAAGATCAAGATGCCCAAGGCGTACCACTACCGCAGTGGCGGCGGCGCGGGTGCCTCCACGACGCCACCTCCGGCGGTTACGACCACCAATGAGAACCCGAGCCCCAACAGCACCAGCTCTCCGGGCGGTGGTGCGCACAAGGAGGACGAGAAGCGACCGGGTGGACTGCGTGAGCCAGGGAGTCCCAAGTATCCCAGCGTGCCCCGGTTTACTGAGGACGTTCTGGAACGCAGCGCTAGCTCGGCCTTTTCTACCTACGAGGGCATGGGCCAGAGGATCTCCCCGCAGAGTCCCAAGGGTCCTCCGGCTCCCGGCATCCTCGAGAACCTCCTTCTGCAGCGGTACCAGGATCGCGGCGCAGCCGACGGCAGCCCTGCGCTGCGCAGAGAATCGCTCAAGGAGCCTGTGCGTGTCATCGTGTCGAACGAGGTGTCGCCGCCCGCCGCTCCCGACTCGAACACATCGGGCGAGGGTAACCACCCGCCGCTCATCTTCCCGCATAAGAAGAGCATACGCTTCTTACCGAGTGGAAACAGCCCCGAGATGCACAGTCCCGACTCGACGGACAAAGCGCACCAGCAGCCCGCAGTGTCTTCGGCTGTGGGCCCAGGGTACGGCGTGCCTGGCACTGTGCCGGCCAACTATCTCTACATGAACGGCATTGCGCCTATGTTTTCGCCGGCCCACTTCAACATGTACGCGTACTCCGTGCCCGAGACTGTGCATTCGTCGCTGGCGTCTCCATCAGCGGGGATGTCGCCCTACCCGAAGTTACCCGAGTTTGGCGGCGGCCACCACGCGCCGCATCATCCGATGCTGCCATTACCCGTGGACAAACCGTCCGGCAGCAATTCGCCGGGGGCCAACCGACCATACTCCCCCGGCAGCAATCCGAGGGGTTACCGCTCTCTTCCATACCCGCTCAAGAAGAAGGACGGCAAGATGCATTACGAGTGCAACATCTGCTACAAGACGTTTGGGCAACTTTCTAACCTAAAGGTGCACTTACGTACACATTCCGGCGAGCGACCCTTCACGTGTTCCGTCTGCGGCAAGACGTTCACGCAGCTGGCTCATCTTCAGAAACACCATCTCGTCCACACGGGTGAGAAGCCGCACCAGTGCGACGTCTGCAAGAAGCGGTTCAGCAGCACCAGCAACCTCAAGACGCACCTGCGGTTACACTCTGGCCAGAAACCCTACGCGTGCGATCTTTGCCCGGCCAAGTTTACGCAGTTCGTGCATCTCAAGCTGCACAAGCGGCTTCACACAAATGAGCGACCGTACACGTGCCAGACGTGCAAAAAGAAGTACATAAGCGCTTCCGGCCTGAGGACCCACTGGAAAACCACGTCCTGCCAGCCCAACATGGTTCTTGACATGGAGCTGGACAAGAGCTCCAACGGCTACGACTACTCCCAGATGGACCTACCGTCGCCGACGGGGGTCGACCCTTCCAGGCACCACGGCATGTCTCTGGGGCTCCTGGGGCCCGGTAGTCCCGAGGAGGAGGACTACCCGCATCACATGCTCCACCATCAGGGCACCAGGGACGACTACCCGCCGTTCGTCAGGACGCACCTCGAGCCCAAGTCGACTTCGAGTAGCGGGCCTTCGTCTCCTGACGACGACCTCTCCAAGAAGTGCCACCCGACGCCGGACAGAGACAAAGAGTGACGCGCAATGGTGCCGCTGTTCGCGCAGACTCTGTACAGGAAATCTCGCGCCAGGTGCACGGTTCGTACGCGCCCCTTCTTTCGCCGGTCTTCCAAAGACCTTATTTATTTATCGCGCGACTGCGAAGGAGAGGTCTGCAGGCCGGTCCATTTCCATCGACCCCACCATACACGCACACACACAAACATTCCAGGCGCGTGCCCCTTCCCTTGGCCCCTCTGGCAACCGCAGCTAGCCGCCGGTCGGTTGGCGCGTGTCTTCCCCTGGAAACCCACCGAAATATTGACGGGAAGCGCTGAACATCCGCCACGAGCGACACCTGTCACCGACGAGCGAAAGGAGCGATTGCACTGCGTGCACAAGGCTTGATGGCGAGTGCACCCCGTGTACTCGTCATCCAGACCGGCTCTTGGTAATGCGCTAAAAAGGAATGCTAATTTTGTAACTAAACGAACAATTTGTTTCAAGACTCATTGATTAGGGCGTGATATTCTTTGAACTGATATTGGTACTATAGCCTCGAGATTTGAGCAAGTGAGGTACCAAAAATCAGAACGGAAGCTGTTTTGATGTTGTCTTCCGAACCTGCCTTTTTTTTAAATCAAATCCCTGCGCAAGTATTGCTTTTTGATCTGATTGTGCACTTTACTATTTACCTACGATCTCATCATAAACAAAAAGTTCTTCCGTCGGTAGAAGTTTTAAAAATGGATCAGGAATTTGATTATAAAATGGCAGACGGGGACACACAATGCGAAGCAGTCGAAATTTTGAATTTAAAGCTTTGTAAGCAGTTTATGTTCAATATTAGCTTCCAATTATGCGTCTACACCGCAAACGCGATATCCTTTTTAGCGCATACATGCTCATATCGGTGAGAAAAAACATAGTGACCGCGACGGATGCTCGCTTAATTGGAAATTACGCGATTTGGTCAGGGATAATTCATCGAGTGCTTAAAATTGTTTCACCTATATATTTCACGAAGTTTACGAGATAGCTGTCGTTACTGCCAACGAGTACATAGGGAATTTTTACATAAGTTAATTAGCCTTGCGCGCCATTTACAACAGGCTCTTTTTTGAGCAACATCGGAAGCTAATGTTAAGAAAAAAGAAGTACCGCACCTTTTATTACAGTTGTGCAGTGCTTCACATTGCCGTTTTGGTCGGGTGTACATTATTCCATCTTTTTAAGCGCCTCTCTCATTGCACGGGAAGAAAAAAAAAACACGTAGTATTTATTTCACAGAGCTTGTACATAGCTAATCAAAAGCATCCTCGACAATGGTGCGCAAATTTCCCACGAACTTGGCGAAAATTGTGTTGTGACAAGTATCATTCAACATTCCCTCGCGAGGGTGAAGAAGGCACGCCATTTTTTCTTGGAGCTGACGATCCTTTGATAGGCCCTCGGCCACCACGATACCCTGCTTGTGCCAGGATAAAAAGAAATGTGGGTTAAATATTTATCTTCCGTGAAATCGTCAGGACGTTGCCTTCGTGGCGTTTTACTTTTTCATAAAGTATAGAATAATATAAAAGATGAATATATATGTCACCGCGTTCGACACAGGTACACACTGTTACTCTAAGCCCTCCTCTATATTTCAGTTCCAGACACGCGCCTGACATGTCTCCACAACTTGGACCACTCAAAACCCTCATTGTTGCATCGTGACTCGGGCAATCCCACACAGTCTTCATAGCGCCGCACGTGTCTAACACATAAGGTGTTTGGCCTGTTTTACGGATTATAATTTTACGGTTCTTCAGCGTACAACTATCGATCTCGCACAATTAAGACCTGAGTTACGCGCACATAATATCCGAACAAAAGCTTCAGCTCTCGTGTCGTTTTTCTTCGTTTGTTTTGTGTACGCTGTCGGTCATAATAGACCCCTTTCAAAAGTCCATCAGACAACACTGACGGCTGTCGTATTTTTTTGGAACCGAGCACGGACTCGTGTTCAGAGCGTGCTGCTCAATGTGGATGCCCTGAAAATATGGCGACTTAGGAGCGGCTCCTGAAGCGCGCGCACTTTTGAAGGGGGCTATTGTGCCTCTGGCAAATCGATCCTCTCACGCAAAGACGGAAAAACGACGGAAACAATAACGGAGTGTACCTGCGCCCTCCTTCTCTTACGTCTCCAGATTATCTTCGATGATCAATGTTCTAGCTTACGTGTAGCTCGACTACGTATCTTTAATACGTTGTTGTGTGCACAGGGACGAATATGAGGAAGACGCTTGAGGCCTGTGGAGCAGGATATATTCGTGCTAAGATACGCTTTCAGCGAAATATAAAAACAAGCATAAAAAAAGCAGGCAGTATGTCGAGCATCTTTCAACTTCTTAGAAGACGTCAGGTGCGTGTACTCGTCTGACTGTCATTGTAAATTTTAAAAATTCGATGACAAATTATGCGACGGATTCTTTGTAAAAATTGCGAAAGCAAAATGTTCACGAATCCTCGGAAATTTGTAATTTAAACATGTGGTGAAAGCTCACGCAGAACTATCTTTCACGCACACCTCAGTCTCCATGCACGCTGCAAACTTTCTAAATGTGGTACTGGTTGTTCTGGTCATCCTTCGCAACTACCGTGTGGAATGTTTTGCCTCAAACTACCCTTTGTAGGCTGTCTTCACCTCTACCTCTTGCGATGTCTAGATTCCTAGATTGTGCTCTCAACCAGATAGCCTTTACGTTTCCCGCCCTCCGTCTCACCTTAGCGTCAGCCGCCTCGCAGGACCAGCCGAGTCAACCGTCTTTCATTGCGGCTGATGTCCACCGCAATAAGGAGTTTTCGTAGATCGTTTCTGACGTCCCACAAGGCTCTCCGCAACACCCTACGAGATAAGAATCTCTGCAGACAAGTCTAGCGGCGCGCATGCGTAGTAGCAGCATCCTCGTTGCGCACAGCCTAGCGGACGGAGGAGAGCGGTCTACGAAAATTTTCCACTCAGATGTGTAAGCGAGATTTCGGTTTGTTGGTCGAAATTCAGAGAGAGAGAGAGAGAGAGAGAGAATGAACTTCATTAAAGGACACAAATTGAGTGTTAAAAATTAATATGAAACAGTTCTTCGCTGGGGCGTGCCAGATACCCTCTGTAGTTTCGGCTAGTAAACGTGCGAATTTTCCATCTTGGCTTGGACTCTGTTAGTTCAGTTTGTCCTGAGGTGAAACGGAGTTTCTGAGTTGTCGAGAGAGTACCCCACTGCCCCATCCGCCACGGATTGTTCAAGTCGTTTTGCGGGACCGTGAAGCCGATTTTTCGCGCCGACGTCTTTGAACGACTCTGGAAGAATCTTCAAGTTGGCGAATCGTAGTATAGCGATACGGCAAGATAAATAACAAAGCTTGAGAATCGGTAAACTTCGTAACTCGCCGTAAGTCAGGGCGCACAGAAGAGGGACACCCGTTGCAGTCTCTGACATCCTGATTTGGCTTGAACCGAAGGTCACAGATTAGCGTTTGTACTGCACTGGCCAAATTTCCCAAGTAAAGCGGAGAAATCGGGCGTCATTTCAAAAGATAGGAAAACATATCTTAGTTGAACGTTGATGCTGCACTCGTGTCCAATCGGTGGTACCCGTGCTCAGATAAACAGCCGTACAGCATTGGTCAAATGTAACAGGGAAAGCGGATAACTGAGGCGCCGTTTTACAAAACGGAGAATTGTTACGAGGATGCATGAACCTGTGCAGAGTAACAACTCTTCGCATTTGTGAGCCCAAACAATTGCGGCGTACTTGAACAAACCGTGACGGTGAGCTGTGTTCTGAATAGACCCTTTTCAAACGCCCATCAAGCAACATTGACGGTTGCCATTTCTTGGACGCCAAACGTGTGATTGGATCCGAGACGTTGCCGAACGCTTACACAGCCTTCGTGTCCAATACGTGCTCAGAGTTTGTGACCAAGCAATGACGAGGGCGCGGACTTTTGAAAATGGTGTATTGTCGAATGCGACATGCTAACCTCTTCGTAGAAACTGATGATATACTTCGCGTCAGTTCTTTATTTTCTCGCCCAAGAGCAATCTTCTCCTCCTACTAGTGTACTTCCTTTTCTTTTTCTCTCGTGCCCGTCAAAAGTGTCGAATGTGGAACAAAGAAAATAAACGCTGCGTGTCACAATCCAATCTCTATCGTGTTGTCGTTTTTATGTTTTGGGGTTAGATCTAATGACTTTAACTGAATCTAGGTCATGTGTTCGCGTGTCTTTTCCCCCACAGAAACAATATTTCAATTACTCTCTCTAGCAGAAAAAAAATATCTATAATTATGAGGGAATCAAGAGTAACCATAGTTTAAGGAAAGAAGAGTTAAGCGTTCGCTGAGGTCAAAATTAGGATGAAATCTGACTAATTGAATTAATAACGACTTCATTAGATCATGTAGCCTATATGTGCTGAGACAATCCGAACACGACTCGCAATGTTGTTTGCCTTTCAATATCAACTCAATTATTAGGAAAGTCACAAAAATGACGTCCACATCGAACAAACTGCTTGAATGCCTTTAAAGCTGACGGAGTAGCCTAATATACATTGATGAGTCCTCGTCGTTATTGTGAAAAGGTTTTAAACTTTCGTTTCCTCCAATTTTGTCGTAAGCTGCCTCGAGAAGTGCCGTGATAAATCGAGAACCTCGGACAGATGTTCACACTATTGTCGAGAACCTCAGGCCGTGGCGACTCGCGTGGGATTCCTTCGCAGCCAATGAGCCAGCAGTCCTACCTTCCGCTCCCCCCCCCCTCCCCCAATAAGCTGACAGTGCGACGGAAGCTACGCGCTCGCCGGACCAATCAACAGCCCTCCTCTCATCACCTGACCCCGCTCTCTGCTCGTGGGTTTGGGCGGGAGCGTGATCACGTGGCGAAAGATAGGCGTAGGACAGGTTCGATCAACACTTAGCTTCTCCGCGCTGTCAGCATAATATGGAACGGAGTATAAGCAATATGAACGATAAAGAAATACGAATCAAAACGTGTGAACACTGTGAGCTGCATTAGTGGCTATAGATAACATAAGTGACTCGTGAGAACATACTAACTACTGTAGATAAATCCCAAGGAAGAGACGAGGATACAAATGAAAAAAAGAAAAAAATAGCACTTTAATTACAACTGGCGTTTCAATACACAACTGCAAGGAAAGAAAGTAAGAAGCGGGAGAAATTACACAGCGCGTTATATGTTTAGTATGTTGAAGAAACTAACTCACCTTAATGTTTTGTGACTGGTGATTAATTGAGTTAGGAGCCGATTTTATAGTGAAATGCTTCGCCACTGTACTGTCTCTCCATTTGAGTGTATGGAGCCGTAAAAGGACTCGAACCTTACAAGGAATGTGGCACACGAATTTTATTCAGTTTTACTTTTTTCACGGGTTATTTTTCTGGTCTGAAATCTTACAATATTAGACACAAAAGACAAGAAAAGAATTATGGCCGTATTTCGCAAATGAGCAATTGTAATCATTTACGCTAAAGGTGACGAATCTCGACCAGCGAATGCCACTCCCAAGTCTGTTGCTCCTGCCAACACCGCAGCAAAAGGTAACTCGAGAGAACACCTATCCAAGCCATGGAGTAATGGTAAGTAGCAAGTAGAAATGACCAAGCCAAAAAAAAAAAAAACAAATCCGATGCGTTGTTTACATGTAGAACACACATATAGCCAATCACTGCGAACAACGGAAGGAAATCCCTGCGAATGACGAAATCCAGAATGAAATTAGATTTGAAAAATTCGATGTGCGCGCAGAGACAGTGAGTGAGTAAAGCGCCATAAGCCTACCGCAGATGATCGGCGATTCCAGCGAAATCCACGCCGCGTTGCGGCAAAGTCAAGAAGTTTCGAGAGAGTTGTTTCGCATCTGTCGTCGAATGGGCTCCCGTAGGCGCATAACTTTATGCGCTTGTTTATGCAGATCGACTATGTAAGCGCGGTTCATCAGTGTCTTAACGAAATAACGGATGAAATAGGACGCGAAAACACCTTAGCGGTATGCAATTTCCTATATCCGCGGGATGAAAAATAATGTCATCACGCAAAAACGTGCTCGCGTGCGAAACTTGCAGTGAGGCCCACAAGTTAAAGTAAAACAAAAAATTAAAAAAAACTGCCGCAAAAAAAAAAAAGAAGAAAAAGTGCGCGTAGAAGGGCTTTGTTAGACTTTGTGTTAATAAAAATAATATCATAACCTTATTCACTTAAAGCATCGGCCTCTAAACATTTTGGCTAAAGAGTCAGATTAGCGATCTGTCGTAGTCTCGACATCTGTCGTAGTCTTGTACACGAAGAAAAACTAAATAAACCTGGATAGGCATTTAAACACTGAGATAAATGTTTGAGTATTAAAAAGAAACCTGAAGTGGATAAGTACCTATATTCCACATCGAAGTTTAATATTTAGCTAATTATGACATTACACAACACTTTTGACCAAGTAAACTCAAAAGGCAAAAATCAAAGCACATGGGAACTGGCACATTCGCGTAGTGCATGCGACTAATTAGAAGCATAACACCAATGCGCACAATACGCGATAGTTGTGCAAGAGGAGCAGTGAACAGGAGAAGGAATTGGAATTCTAACACACTTACACAGACATGAAACAGGGGACTCAGCATGGTAATGCTAGTGATGAAATGTTCAATTAATAATAGGCGAGAGGTCTCGTGTTCGTCTCGTTCTTTCTGGTATCTTAGTTTGCGTATCTTGTAGCGCGCCGTGGCGCCGTTTCTTTAGGCGCGCTTGTTTTTGCGCCGCTATCAGCGGGCCTGCTGGAAACGGGCCACGGGCCGTGCTTCATTGGAAAGACCTCGGCCAGCCGCGGGCCTATCGCAAAATTCGGCGGGCCGGATTCGGCCCGGGGGCCTGAGTTCGGAGACCCCTGATCTAAACATCACCGAATTCGAATGTCATAACGCACGTCACCAGATTTGATCACGGTGGCATAAAATAATGAGCGCGAAAACCTCTTACCACTCCCACTAGATGCTGCTCTAAGCGAAGATGTAGTTTTCGCAAAATCACCTATACCACTCAAAACATATTGGTCACGCTAACAAATCAGGCAAATCGTCAATATTGCGCAAACATGATTGAAAATTTGTTCAGTAACAGTTTAAATTCGCACATACTGACATTTATAGGGACTACGTGTAGGTTTCTTATTCGAAATGCCAGTCCGCCGCTCGCCCTCTCGCGGTCAAACGAAGAACCAGCGGAGCGGGGACGGCGGCGGCGGCGGCGGCGGCGGCGGCGGAGGCGTCGCGTAGACGGTGGCAGGGACTCTCGGCTTTGGCTAGCCTTGGTGCCCTGGTGCTGCTACTACCTCATGGTTCCGGTCGGCGTGTTCGTGTGTGAAGCAATTTTACCGCAAAAAGCGAGCCCGTTAAAATATGAATTTTTGTGTTCCGCCTCGCAGCAGCGTCGCAGAAAATGACTAGGATGTCTAATTTAATAGGTGACTTTTCGTCTATAGTATACGCTGCGGATTTCTGATCTTGTGGCCGTCAGCTCAATTAGTGCCTAACGTAACGGCCAAGGCTCCCCAAGTAGTCTAGTGATGCAACATACGGTCTACGAAGAGTTCCTTTTTTTTTTTTTTTTTTTTGCCCTAAGAAGGAGAATACTGGTTGCGCAACGGTATGTCGAGCAATAGACATCGGGAATGATTTCGCGTTTTAAGGCCGTTACAAAGAACATGAGAATTCGGTTGAAGCACTTTAGAAACACAGAATACATGTACTTCTTCTAAAGCAACTACAAACAAACAAAAAAAATGCTCGAAGTATTTTATTGCGCCTGTGTTAGCCAGCCGTTGGTGACGAGAGCTTAGAATGGGAAGTTTTGGCGAGGCGGATTGCAACGTTGCAGATAACACGGTACACAAATGTAGTGTATACAGTATAACAAAATATTTCTTTTTGATAGGGAAATAAATAATTCCTCTATTGATAGGCAGTTTTAGCATATATAGTGTTCCCTCAGGCTACCGGGGGCACGGCATGCCACGCTCCTGGCGCGCTCAGAAAATTATGCTTCAAAGGCTCAACGCGAGCTTCCGGTTGAAATACTGCACCGTACGGTTGTCGGCGGTCACTTATCCTAGAACTTCATATGAGTAACCGCAGCGCAGTCTAACCACCGTGTTGCAATACACTAAAACCGCGACGGTGAACAGCAAGTTGTGATCCTGTGACACGAAGACATCAGTACTGTGAACGGTGCTCTTCCGGGGCTTAAGGAACACCCTGCGCGGTTCACTTCTTAGAGCACTAATGGCCAGGCGAAGCGCAAATACCAGGATATCTTCATTACGCTAAAAAATGTTTTGCCACGAACCGTGACGTGACCGGCGCCCAAAACGCGCTCGCCCTCCACAAAGCTTTGCAAGTTGAGGTTCCTGCAACTTTTAAATATCAACATGCTCGTTTTCCTAACGCACGTGAACATCTACGAAACCTGTAATATGCTCCTGCCATGACCGCTTCGCATTTGTAAACAAATAAATTATTTTTACCTCATTGATCAGCGTCAGCGAGGGGGCGCACGGGAAATCCTGGAAAATCTATCCCCGTCTCCTCCGCCAATCTCTGAACTATCGTCCCGAGTTGCGAATAGACGTGTGCTTGTATGACCGGCTATTGGGCAGGAGATCGAACTATAGGGGGCGCTCTGACCCGTTTGTTTTCCCCACGCTCGGTGTTTACTCAACACAGGGCCTGTGCACATGCCGACAGGCCTTATGGGCATGTCCATGCCATCTTCTACAATAGAGCGCGGGCCACAATTTAATGTAAAAAAATACTTACAATCGACGAAGCGACGTAAAGTGCCGGATCTATCCTCAGCGAATGCGAGCTTGACCCACTTCGGCTTTTGTGCGGAGCTGGGACCGTGCATGCTACATTGTTCATGCAGGCCGTAGTGGAAACAAAGGGGCCCCTTCTCCCCCTCACCGGAGAACACGAACTCCAGCTGAACGCTGACGCCGCGTTCGGTTATGTCGGCCGAGCGCTGAGTCATTGTATTTGTTGTCCCCATCCGTGTAGTTGTTAAGTTAACCGCTTGGGGCGTCACGGTCTGTCCTCCTCCCCAATAGGTGCCAACATTAGGGTGACCACCCGT